TCCACTCCCTGGCTTAAGTATTTCATTTCCTCAGAATTATCAGTGGAGAGGAATTATCCATTTTTGCTTCAGTTATAATACACAATACAAATTTGCATGATTTTTCAAACACATTGAGGATACTGGGGATGCAGATTTAAGGATTGTATTAGTTTTTTAATCCAACTGTTTTAAACAGTGCTCACTAATGCCCAGGATATGCTTCAAACTATTATTAAACCAGTGGGCTTTGCAAGCCCCAAAGCCATAACTGATGCTTGCATTTCATTCATTGATTCATTCATTCAAGAAACACTTACTGAGTATCTAGTATTGCTGAACACTATTCCAGAAGCTGGGAATTCAACAAAAGATTTATAGATAATATCTCTTTCTGTACAGAACTCCTTGAGAATGCTCTCAACCAGTTTCAGCAACTCTCAGATTGTGCTAGGTGCCATGAAGGGAGCAAACAAGAGGACGTTGAGGGCCGTAGGTTGGGAACCATATCATAGATAATTGAATCTGAGGATTTCAGCTGAGACCCAAAGGGTGTGTAAATCATCTCTGCTCTCTCCAGCCTTGGAACATCGTGCCTCCTCTGCCTAGTTGTCCCTTCTTTCTGCTTCTCCCACTCCATCTTAGTCACCCTTCAAGATACAACTCACTTGTTTTCTCCTTCTGGAAATCTTCCGGCATCCCACAGTTGGGTTGCCTCTGCTCTGTCGCCAGAGCAGTTTGTTTGTTTTAAATCACAGTATTTATCACTTAGTATTGTAATTTTGCTTCACTGTCAGTAGATTATGAGCCATCCCTTGTGCCCCAAGGCAATTTTCACCATGAAAGTTACTTTTATAAATTAAATAAATCTCTGCTATGTGGGCAGAGACAGTATTGCATGCCTAGCATATAGTAAGCATGCAATAAAAATGTATTGACTTAATAATGAATGATTAGCCTGTTGCCTTGTGTTTGTTATTCCATGACTATCTTACACTTTTTTTTTTTTTTTGAACCTGTCTCTGGTTATTCCAGCCCTACTAATAAATTGCCTCTAGTCTAGATCGTGTCTGCTTTGGTTGAGTTTGTCAAATCATTCAGCCGTTCTTAGAATAAAACTGCTGCCCTTTGGTTGTGCATTCTGTTTTCAGCAAATGGAACTATATACGCTGAAATATAAGGTAAAGGAAATCATTCTTTCATAAATTCCTACTTCCAAGCAAAGCAATCTAGATTACAGCAGTAAAATCAGGCTGTCCTACTGGGTCTGTAGACATATTTACAACAGTGAGGAAAATGAAAACCTCTTGCATCAGATCTTCACTAGGAGTCATTTATAGTAAATGGAGCTCAAGGTGCTAGAAAGCATCCCGTAAACCTATGGAGCTCTGGTGGCAACACTGGCACTGTTAAGTGATTTTTCTTTTGTTTTGATTTTTTTTGTTTTTTTTGTTTGTTTGTTTTTCTCCTTTTCTACTCTCCTTGCTCTTCTTGGGGTAGCTTGTACCTTAGATGAAGTCAGAAGCCTTTCTTGCTATGGGAGACACCATGCTATGGGAGACACTGCAGACCCAAGTTCTCTGGGCAGAGGGCCTAGTCAGCAGGATTAATGGTATTCAGCTTCTGTAACGTCCAGAATTTGGTTGACTTCCTTGGTATCCCATTTTCCGTGTGAAATCTTTAAACCCCAACACAAGCATATTTGATATTGGGCCCTGTGACTTGCTTATTTGGTGCTTTGTGATTGATCTTTGCATCTAAGAACTTTGGTCGAGTGTATTGGAATCAGCAAGTATTAATTCTTTTTGTGAAGTCCTCTTTGTTTTCCCAGTTGCAAGATTTGGGCCAATTATTTTATTTTATTTTTTTTAGTATTTGACAGTTTATTAAAATAAACCTTTTTCCTCCATACGGATTTTTTTTTTTTACATCTTTATTGAAGTATAATTGCTTTACAATGGTGTGTTAGTTTCTGCTTTATAACAAAGTGAATCAGTTATACATATACATATGTTCCCATATCTCTTCCCTCTTGCGTCTCCCTCCTTCCCACCCTCCCTATCCCACCCCTCTAGGTGGTCACAAAGCACCGAGCTGATTTCCCTGTGCTATGCGGCTGCTTCCCACTAGCTGTCTACCTTATGTTTGGTAGTGTATATATGTCCATGCCAATTACTTTTATATTAGATAATTTCTGGCTAGAAGGATTTAGCATCTAATCAAACTCTCCATTTAAAATATAATGGGCAGAATTCTCTAAGTTTTTTCCATAGCTACTCTACTTGGTTGGAACTAGACTTGGTATTTCTAGAATTTGCTTTTGCAGTTCCAATCTGAAAAACAAATGAACAAAGAGAAACACACGCACACATACAAACGCACAGAGGATTTCTTCTTTTGTTTATTATCACATTGTCCATTTTCAGGTTGAAATCTCTCTCTCTCTCTCTCTCTGTGTCTCTCTCTGCCAATCAGCTTAGTCTTTTAGAGGCATTTCCAACATTTCCCCTGGACTCTGGAGTCAGAATACTTCAGATCTCAGCTCTGCCACTTACTATGTGAAAATAGGCAGAATTTTAACTTCTATGCTTCGCTTTCCTAATCTATAAAATGAGGATAAAAATAGTACTTACCTCATAGGGTTGTTGTGAGGACTGAATGAGTTAATATAACTAAAGCCTTCAGATCAGTGCCTGATACATAATACTAACAAAATACATGTTGACTGCTATTATTTTTATCTAACAATCTTCTTAGTAGTTCTGTCATGATATGAAGGGGAATTGGAATAAAAAGGAAAGCTCCTGGAACTGCTGGATTTTTTATCTTCTAATATGGATCTTGTATTTTGTTGATTTTCCTGTCCACCACTATTCTATTTACTAACTCTGTTTTGCTCGTTGTTATGTCTTGAGTGCCTAGCACACGATCGGACACTTAGTAGGCACTTCATGAATGCTTGTTTTATGAAGGAATGAATTCCTTCTGAAAGTATGCTCTGACACTGGCTGCCTGCATTGTTTTTGCCTCACAGGATCTGGTGTGGGCAGAAGTGTCCTCTTAATTCCCGACTCTTCTCAAAAAGGAACGAAACTGAGTGATTTGTAGTGAGGCGGGTGGACCTAGAGTCTGTTGTACAGAGCTAAGTAAGTCACAAAGAGAAAAACAAATACCGTATGCTAACGCATATATATGGAATCTAAAAAAAAAATGGTTCTGAAGAACCAAGGGGAAGGACAGGAATAAAGCTGCAGATGTAGAGAATGGACATGAGGACCCGGGGAGCGGGGGGAGGGGAAGCTGGGACGAAATGAGAGTGGCATGGACATATATATACTACCACATGTGAAATGGATGGCTAGTGGGAAGCAGCCACATAGCACAGGGAGATCAGCTCGGTGCTTTGTGACCAGCTGGAGGGGTGGGATAGGGAGGGTGGCAGGGAGGCACAAGAGGGAGGGGATCTGGGGATACATGTATACGTATAACTGATTCACTTCGTTATACAGCAGAAACTAACACACCATTGTAAAGCAATTATACTCCAATAAAGATGTTAAAAAAAAAATCCGCGGCTCTTATCACAGGGAGGTCCAGCATTTGTGAGTCCTGCAGACTAAACCTTTACCCGAATATTCTGTGTCTGCAGCTCTTCTGTGCCTCATCATGAAAGCCCCTTTCACAAGAAGAATCTCTTCCTACGCGGGGTCTGACCTGAAGGTAGAGTCCCCATTTGGGCAGAGTCACGACAACATCACCACCTTCAGGCCCCTGCAACAGCATTCAGGAGATAACTGTCAAATCATTTCAGTTATTTTCTCTTGACAAGAGAAAGACCTGAATGTTGCCCCTCCCCTCTCCCCTCTCCTTTGTGTTCTGGTCTAAAGGGACCTGTGGGTTGATGTTGGCCGTGTTTTATTTGTTTTAATAGGTGTTGTCATTTAGCTGCTTCCATTTCTTGAGTTTTAGTTACGTATTATCTTTATTGATGCACCGACACTATTTCATCACGAGGTCAGGACATCCTGGGACACCTTGGGCCTTGGTTTCCTTTTATGTAAGTTGAGAAGAATTGAACCATATAATGTCCTTGGTCAATTCCAGTGCTAAGGTTTTATGAGTAAAAGCTAAGTAGACAAATTAGACACTTTCACCTTTTTCTTCCCTTCCCTTTTCTCTATTTAACCTTATGGAAATTTGTGGAGAAAAAAGGATGATGAAGAATTTCCTCCTACATGACTCCTAAGCAATTCTTGTGCTCAGATGGGGTTTGAAAATTCACCTCCTCAAAGGAGACTGGCAGTTTCCCCCCCGCCGAGGTACAAGCCATCTTCTCAAGACATTAGTTTGCTCCTCCTCCTAGTTTGGAAACTAATATTAATTTCCTGGTGCTTTCTCCTGGCAATCAACACCTGAATATTGTACTGTGCAATGTATATAACAGCCAGGGTGATTTTTCAAAAAGTAAATTTTTTTCTTGTCATTCTCACATCTCCTATGCTTCCCATATCTTCTTGCTCCAGCCATGCTTTCTTTCTTTCAGTTTCTGGAAAGCACTAGGTCTTCCCTGCCTCAGGACATTTGCACACTTTTCACTCAGGTTATCTGAGTTATCCTCTCCTTTGCATCCTCCCCAAACCCCTATTTTCTTGCTTCACTTCCTCATATAGCTGTGGCTCCTTCTCCTTTTCCAGATCTTCATTTAAACGTCATTCCTTGAAAGAACTATCTCTGACCGCCCAATTGAAAGCAGCTGTAAATTCCTAGCATAGAATCTATGCATTACAAACACAGCTTTAATTGTAATTCGGAAATTTTAATTTGTTTTCTTATTTATCATCTCTCTCCCCCATGAAACTATAAGCTCTGTGAGGACAGAGACAAGGTACTATATATTTGCCAGTGTATATCATGCCCAGCACATTATACCTGCTCAAAAAATGTTGGTTGAGTGAATGGAAGAGTGAGTATTATTAGCCCTTTTTCAACAATATTTTCTGTGTTTACTTCTGATTTCTTAGATTTCCTGTGCTTCATCAGCTAGAGAAATGAAATCCATTACCAGGATGAAAAGAAAATTTTATGAGGTAAGTATTCCAAATTCTTGTCTTTGAATGCTTTGTTTTTTAAAATGTGAAATATTTCTGCTTCTACTATTTCCACTTTATCTGCAGATTGGAAAGAAAGGAATCTACAAAGCCGTCAGTGAACTAGATATTCTTCTTTCCTGGATTAAACAATTTCTGGAAAGTGTTAAGTAATGCAAGAAGCCAAGTGGATTGATTTGACTGTTATTTTGAAATATAATGAGAACAACCAGAAATCAATTTAAAGCAGTGTATTTCCTTTTTAAAATTTTGTACATAGTACTAACAGCAAATTAGATGATTCAGAATAGACTAGAGGAATTTAATGTAATAAAATTTTGGAGGTAAGTAAATTGTCACTAATATGCACATTTTATGTATTTTCAAAGACTGTTTTCATCCTGAACATGTTTTGTCATTCCCAAGTGCATTGCATGAGTTTAATCTAAAGGTGTATAACCAGAATGAAATCATGTAATATTTGTGCATAGAAAACGACAGATTTCTGGGATACAATATAACGTTATTGAGACTTACATAGATGCCGTGTATATGATTATTGTCTACTTAAGGGCTTGATGATTATTAATTATGCCCAGTGTGAACTTAGCCCCTAATAGATTTTGATTTTAATGAAATAAGCTGTGTTTCTTTCTCCTGGATGTCCTTTTTAGGACAGTATGCTAGAATTTCATTGAGTACAATGGGTAACTACCAGATCAGATCAAATAGGACACACATGTAAACTAACTGCTTGGAATGGTTTACTAGAAACACCTTTGACAGATAACCCAAGCTACACAGACTACAATGAACCAAGTTGAAATGATGCCGAAGCGTGATTATGTTCCTTCCGGGTGCCATACAATTAAGAAAGTTGGTAGAGGCCAAATAGAAGTCTGAATGGCAGCTCAGAGTTCACCACAGGAAACTTTCCTTACTATCTAAAAACCTTACCCACACAGCTAGCCCTTCAGTTGAATGAGTCATATTGCCTGACCATTGTTTTGCATTAAACGGATCCTGCCTCAGCATTGTAGGCATGGGCAGTTTCAGACAGCAATTTGTGTGATGGCCAGTTTGCTTCCACAAAGCACCCATTGTGCCTGTGCTGCGCACAGACAACACCAGGACTTGGTGTTTTGTGATATGAGTAGGCGGGGCTTCCCGAAGGCCTTTGTGGATTTCATCCTTGGAACCTCCTCTCTACTTTGCTTTCCCACCATCCAGTTCTTTTCAATCACATGGTCATTAGTCTGTTCACCTGGGACTATCCTCCCTTGGTTTATCTCATAGTCCAAAATTACCTCTTTGTTCTCTGCCCCTTCTCCATTCTGCCTTCCCCAGCAACACTCCGTGGCCCCACGTCTTATCCTACTGGGGACCTCATTGTTACACAAATCCACAGGCAGGGAAACGTGTGGTGAGTAGGGGATTGGCGGTGGGGAGACTGGGGGACTCTGTCTTCTTTTCGTGCCATTGATTTAGGGCTTCCCAGTGCAGGCTCCTAGATCATCAGTAATGGGGCAGCCTTCTTTGTTGAGAAACATTTGGAAGAGCTGGCATCTTGGGGATCAGGAATCTACCCCCTGGCTCTCCCCTGGACCTGAGAGGAAGTGGTGCACCCACAGCCTCTCATTGCCCCAGTTTCAGGGCCCTCGGTGGTTTCCAGGATTAGGCACCCTCACAGCTGAGTTTGTGCTGTACTCCCACAGAGCTGGGAGTCTCCATCTTGGTTACAAAGCATTCTTAGGTGTTCCATTACTTAGGGACGCCAGGTATTAGAGGGGCTGTGAAATGTTAATTTGCCAACTTTAGGTCCTTAGGGATAAAATTTTATCTGTGTTCCACAGTACTTTGGGGTGATTGAATTCAATGTTTTTATTTGTTGGATTGTTTCCCAAATTCTTCCGTTTGCCCAGAAGAGTCAAAAGGCTGCTGAAGCACGATAGGAATTTAAACATCATCACTGAGCAGAAAACCAACATCCACGTGCTGGTGCCTATTCACAAACGTTTTTCAGATACCAAAGGAAAAAGCGTGGTCTTAGTGTGTTTGAGTAAAGACTGGTATTCTGAAAAGGCGGTTAAGGAGGGAGAAGCTGTTGTCCTTGTGCACAGGGAGGAAACCGTGATTGGTGGGGTCACTGTGGGCTCAGGGTGAAAGCTTCCCTCTGATTACAGGTCCCACTCTGGACGTTACCAGAGCCAGAGATGGCTGCATTTTGGGAAATGGCGGCATACCCCCAAACACCCACGAGATGCTCTATAATCCCCAAACCATTCAGCATTCATAGGATGAGATTCCTTCTAGCAGATCCCTCCTGGATCATACCTAGGAGACTATGTTTCCTATTAAAATGTTTTGTCTGACAGCACATAATTAGAGTTAAGGGCATTGAATCTGCTCTTAACACAGGGAGAGCAGAACGAGCCTGAGTACCGGCGAGTAGTCTGGAGTGGTGGACACAGCCCTCAGTGTGGTCCAGAGACCCGATTAGTCCCAACTCCCTCCAGGTCATCCATACAAAACATCAACCTCCCCCCTCATCACTTTTCTCTAAAACACTTCTCTTGCACTGGCGTGCTTGTACTGACTTGTTTGTTTATTGACTGTCTCCACCATGTCAGAATATAGGCTCTGCGAGGCAGGACAAAAGTCTGTTCTGTTCTCTGGAGGGTCCCCAGCATCCAGATCAGGGTCTGAACGCGGGGCACTACATCAGCACATGGTGAATGTGTGAGCTCTTGAGAGAATGGACCGAGGCTTTGGCCCTGCTCCTCTTAGGATGTGTGACCAATGTCAGGCTAATTCACTTCCTGGGCCTCCGTTTCTGGATGGATCCTGATTGAAATTAGCTAGCACGGGTGATCTGTACAGATATCTGCAGACTGGGGGACTGAGGTCTTTCTTTACTCGAGACACGTGCCCTCAAAGGACCTCACACACTCTCTTCTCTCCCACCACCTGCCCCTACTACCCCGAGCCCTGCTCTGCCTGCTTCATTTCTCCTGAACCTTTATGATTTTATTGAGACATCATCCTGTTGTTAATGGTCTCATATACTCTTTACTTCTTCACAGAACCTGTCATAATTATAATTCTTCTGTAGATTTAATATCTGTTTCTCCCTCTAGACTGTCCCTCTCGGATTCACTGCAGTTCTGCTCCTTATACATGGTAAGTGCCCAATAAATATTTGCTAAGTGAATAAAGTAGTAAGTTGGATTAGATAGCCTCCAAGGTTTCTTTCAGCTCTGGCATTTCTGCTGCCATAATCTTCACTGGTTGGCATGAAACTTGAAGACTGTGATATAACAGTGCTTTCCAACCCAAGTCCTCTAAGAACACCTATGTTATTATTTACATTAACAAAGAATTTAAATCAGCATACTTTTTTACTTGCCCCAAATAAGAGGTAACGGTAAATACATATATGACTATTCGAATAAGTCATTCAACTTAAACAAATATGTTCTCAACTAAAACATGTTCACGAGTGTACCATGTAGAATCATCTTGCAAAACCCAGGTGGAGTGTGCTTCAGACATTGGGAAACACTGCATTGTAATGAATTTCCACTGCCTCATTCTGGTCCAACTTAGAGAAATAGTTGGAAATTCGAACTTGATCATTTTAACCTACCCACAGAGACCAGTTTAGAAGAAGTCAAGCCACGATGCTTAGGTTTCAAACAGGTTTCAGAGCTCCTGTCATTTTTTCCAGAGATGGAGGTATGAAAGCACGCTCACCCAGTCAGTCATTCCATGGGGCCGATGACTATGGCTCTCCACAGGGGATGCTGGGATGTCAGTACAGCCCTGCTCCTGTCCCGTCAGCCTACCCTGTCCAGGTAGCCATGGTCCACGCGGCTTCCCAGGGAGGGAAGCTATGGGAGTCACGGTTAAGGAGGCTTCTCGAGAGGTTACACACGGTGGAAGGAACAAAAAGCGAAAGCTCAGTCAGGCTGACGGGAAGGAACAGCAGAAACTCTCAAAAGCAGTTGCAGAACTGTGCTGTGGATTACCACACATCCTAAGAAGTCAGGAGGATCGATTCCTTCACTAGGACTAAGAGTTGTTCACTAAAAACTAAAATGAAAACCAATCAATTCTGTAAACATTTACTGAATGCTTCCTATTTGCTAGTCGCGTGGTCATGGCTGAGGTCATAATTATCAATAAAACTCATAGCTTCTTTTAGCAATTTAGGATCTAGGAAGGGAGATAGGAAGGTAAACAATCACACGGTAGAATATAAGCAATAATGGAGCTATGTAGAAGGTGCAGTGGGTGGAGGTCGGACACACTGCACTAAGGAGGTGAAGTTTGAGGTAATTTACCCTTGAAGACTCTGCTCAGTTGTTACCTCTTCCAGGAAGCCTTCCTTGATCCCCCCCCTCCCAGCCCCGACTCCCAGGCTGTGTTCTATGTCTCTTGCACAGCATAACATTTACCACATCGTATTGTAACTTTCTATTTACTTCCTTATCTCTTCCTCGAAGACACGGACCAAGTCTTATTCAGCATCATGTCCTCAGTGCTTAGCATGGTGCTGTCATATAGCAAGCATTCAGGAAGTATTTTTGGAATGGAATGATGGAAAAAAAAACAGTGGTCATGAGGCTGGAGAAGGGAAATAGATTTGGGAGATATTTAGGAGGTAAAACTGATAAAACTCAGTGAACAACTGGTTGAGGAGGGATTGGTGCTGAGGAAATAGCCTAGGATGACTCTAGGGTTTTACATTTTCTACAGATTTGTAGTAAACCAGGACTCAGAAAAATAAACTTCAGTGAGATTCTAGTATCTCCTTTGGGCCAACAGAGAAATGCCTTGAAATTTGGACTTCATAGGACCATACAATCTCATAATTTGAAAGGAACAGTGAGAGCGCATTTTCAACTTTGCATGTTATACTGGAACCTTCTTTATAACACTGTTCCCATCTAGCATATGCTTGACCACTTACAATTAAGGAAGACTACCTCCTGGAAAAGCCCCCTCTCTCTCCAAATAATCTTGCCTATCAGACAATTATTTATATTGATCTGAAATCTACCCTCCTGAAATTTGTCATATATTTTTCCTAGTTCCAAAACTTGGGGTTTAGAGTAATTGTGACCCATCTTCCATAGGACAGGTGGGTTACTTAGGAGGTATGTTGGGGGAGG